TGTCCTCACACAGCAGAGAGAGGAGGGAGAGAGAGCTCTCTGGTGTCTCTTCTTATAAAGACACTAATCCTATCAGAGCAGGGCCCCACCCTTATGACCTCAATTAACCTTAATTACTCCCTTAATTCAAATACAGCCACGCTGGGGGTTAGGACTTCAGCATACAAATAGGTGGGGGGTGGGGGTTGCACAAACATCCAGTCCATAATGCTGTGCAAACAGTTTTTTGAATATGCTGTCTCTGCCCCAGTATTTTATCTGCTCTATTCTTTTCCCATAGCTGGGCACAACACCCGGCTCACAGTAGGAAAGCAGAAGAGAGCAGGGAGGGAGGGAGGAAATGGCTGCATCATGCCAGTATCCACACTAGGTGCTGGGAGGGAGATTTGGTGAGACAGGCCACCATCCCAGGCAGGAGCCTGAGCACAGCCCCGTTATCATCAGATCCCTTTCCCCAAAGGGCACAGCAGAGAGGAAGATCCTCCTGTTCAGAAGAAACAGAGCTGGGAGCGAGGGAAAGGAGACGGCAGAGGAAAAGAGAGGAGAAGACCGGGAGAGAGAGGGGGGAGAAGTGGAGAGTGGAGAAGCAGCAGGAGAGAGTCGAGATACACCTGCAGGGCAGGTTGGGGTGGGGGCAGCAGTTTGAGCGCCTGGATTGAGAAGATCCATGTTCAAATTTGAGATCCACTGCCACCGAGCACAGAGTTCACAGCAGGGCGATCGCTCTGAGTCTCCAATTCGTTCATCTGTGAAGTGCGCTGTCTTAGTCTGCTGCCGGCTATAACAAGATACCACAGACCGAGTGGCTTACACAACGGAAATTTATTCCTCACAGTTCTGGAGGCTGGAAGTCCAAGATCAAGGTGCCACTGGCCGATTCAGTTCCTGGTTTGCAGAAGGCCGTGTTCGGGTTGCGTCCTCACATTGCAGAGAGCAGAGAGAGAAGTACTCCCTTGAGTTTCTTCTTATAAGGGCATTAATCCCATCATGAGGGCTCCACCCTCATGACCTCACCACCTCCCAAAGGCCTCACCTCCTAACACCATTGTACCAGAGTTAGAGTTTCAACGTACGAATTTGAGGGGGACATGAACATGTAGTCCCTGACAATGGGGATCCATAAAGCCAGTCTCCATCCCAGGATTTCCTTCAGAGCAAGGAAGGTGGCTTTTCTCTCCTGTATTTCAGGTGCCCTGCATAGCGGGAGGCGGCAGCTTCTCAGTAAATAGTAGTGGAATAAAAGAAAAGTGAAAAGACGAGAACGAATTTTACAAACTGTAAAGTCCTAAGCAGATGGCAGTGCTTACTTTGTTTCCCAAAGCAGACTGGGGAGCCCCTGAAGGAGGAGCCCTTCTTGCATCATTTCTGACTTTGTAGCCCAAACTCAGTGTTCTAAAATTTAGTCAATCTGAGCAGACATCCCTCAAGCACATCCTGTGCGCCCGTCATGATGCCAAAAGCTGGGGCTCGAGAGAGAGGGAGATGCAGAACCGGCTCTCAAAACTTTTACACTCCAGAGAGGAGAAAGTCGGATGCTGCTTCTGGAGACAATGAAACCCACCAAGGAGATAAGAATAAGTGAAGATTTCAAAGCCTGGCCTCTACTATTAATTATAATAATTACCAGCCATAATGATAACCGTGGTAGTTGTTGATCTGTGTGGCCGGCTATTGGATAAACTGAACTAAAAGAGACCCAGAAACACTTTCGTTTTCAGGGGGTGGCCCGGATACCACTCCCTGCCTCTGAGTAAGGCCATCGAAGGCACCAGTGAGGAAGCTCGGCGTCTGCTGGGGTGACAGATGTTATCAGAAGAAATAAGATTAGGCACATTTTGCCCCAGACTTACAAATCCCTCCTCTGCATTTGCCCTCACCTTCTGGCATTAATTGAACTCGGTCTTCACTACTAAAAATAAACACCAGGTCAAATGCAATGAGCCAAAAACCTCAATATGAAACCACAAGCAACAGACTAACAGTAAAATGGGCCAACACCAGAGGTTTTTTCAAAATACGTTTCTGTTTAAGCGTAGAGTTCCGAGTGGGCTGGCAGTCCTTTCAATACTGTGGATGCTGAATACAGGAAGCAACCTTTACATACGCCTGGCTAGAGACCGGGGCTGGCTCGAGTCCACAGACAGGCAGGCAGGAGCTATCGAACGCCCTCTCACCACAGACCAGAGAGGGCCAGCTTGGCAGGAGCCAAGAGATGCTCCCTGGGGAGGTGGGGCCAGAAGAGGAGTCTGAAAGAGCAAGGTGAGGGTCATGGGGGAAAAGTCAACCTTGGGCACATGGCCCTCCGCTGGTATGAGAGAGAACAACCCTGAGGAGGTCAGGAACTACCCACGTAAGGAGGTGGAAGAGAAGCAAATAACAAGGGTGCCCTTTCATTGACCCTTTCCTCTGGCCAAGTTCTGTGATCCTCAGGACCAGCCCGAGTCGGGATCTGTCCATTTTGCAGCTAACAAAAGAGAAGCCTGGAGAGCAGTACAGGACTTGCCCAGGATCACAGGAGGAGTGGGAAGTGGGGCTGGGGTGGAATCCAGGTGTACCAGTACCTCTGTTCCATGCCAGGAATAGTGCACACGGTCCAGGCCCATGCATGGGAAAGGGGTGGATGTGCTCCAACTGGCCTGCAGCCCAGGTGAACTGATTTCTAGGCAGGGATGTAGGCAGTCGGGCTCCCAGTGAGAGAGCAGTGCCTTTAGGACAGGTAGGACCACATGCTCAAGCACAAATGCCTGGGCCTCCTCAGAGTCCCTATCGCAGACCAGCCCTCCTCCAGACATGCTCAGGACTGCGGGTCTCCGAATCCTAGCATCTACCCCTTCTCCATTGGCCTACTCCTAGCAGCTGAATTCTAGGGAGATTCCTTTCCCGTCACCCCTAGACAGACCCGCCAAGCCTCTCCTCCGTTCACAGAATACAAGCAACACTGCTCACTTTTGCGCTATGGCATCAAGAGACAGTTGTTCCAGCTTTCAGACCCTCCAACCTGGTGACTCGAGTCCCACCTGCCCTTCCCCCCCAATGGCAACAGCTCGCTCCAGCCCTCCAGGCGCTGCAGGGGGTGGCGGCCACAGAAAAGGCTGCTGCACTCATGAGAGCATACTCCTGCTCCCAAAGCTGACTGCCTGGACCAGGAGGTGGGCTCCCGAACCAACTCCAGGACTGGCTGGGTGCTCGAGGGCCAAAAAAGGGATGCAGCACTTCCACAGGAAGGCCTGTCAGCTGTGCTCCCTGCAGAGGAGGTCTGACACTAGAAGCGGGAAATGAGATAACGAAATAAAAACAAACGAGGAATGTGAGTGCACTGGGGTGCTGAGTTCCACAGGATGGAAAGGCTCCTTCACTGCTAATCAGCTCAGCTCCTGGTAGGTCTTATTCACCTGCATCTTTCCAGAGTCTCAAGAGGCAGCATCCACTCCAGGAAGCCTCCCCAATGGATGAGGGCCCCTCCCCCCGGCCTCGCATCCATCCAGTGAACCTGGAGCATCCTACGTGTGTGTCAGTCCCCCACCTAGAACGAAAGGAAAGCCCTCACCCTCTCCATCTCTGTGCATCTCGCCACTGCTGAACACCACAGGTTAGAAATACAAATGCACTGTGAAAGATTTAAGGCACAAGAGAAAAGGTGACACAAGAAGCACAAGGAGCACAGTTCTCTGCGACCCTCGCAGTTCTGACTTCCCTAACATCTTCTCACCAGCCCACACTTTCCCACTCACCTTTCCATCCTGTAGTTTTCAAATCTGTGGTAGGAATCATGTTACTCTTTTTTCATCATGGTATTTATTCTTTTCAACATCTTGTTTAAAAAAAAAATTGCAACTGACCTCATTCTTTGCTCCAAATCTTTAAAAACTTTCTTCTTTTGGTTTGCTCTCTTTTCCTCTCGATTCCCTCCTTTTCAATCATTCATTCATTTGTTCTTTCAACAACCACAATGGGAGGCCCAACCCTGGGGCGTCTGGATGTATAAGACAGTCTTTGTTCTAAGCAAGCTCACCAGCGGCTGGGGGCACAGGGAGGGGAGGGGGGAAGAAATCTTGCAGTATGATGGAGGCATGCCCTAAAAGCCCACCAGCAGTCCAGGGGAGGGAGCAACCAGCTCTGCTGGGGTGGGAGGCTATGCATGACCCTCTGTGAAGGATCCACATACCAGCTCCCAGGCAGACTTGGTGGTAGGTGAAAGGAAGAGAGAAGAGCAGGCCAAGGACTTGAAATAGCCTGCTGCATGCAATGACCACTAAATGGTGTAATTAATGAATTAAAAAGAAAAAAGACTTCCACTGTGGAGCATCTCCTCCTCCATGCCAGGCAGCACGCTAAGCTCTTTATCTCCACTATCTCGTTCAATACCCACAACATCCTCCTGAGGTGGGTGCTAATACCATCCCTATGTTACAAGTGAGGAAACCGAGGCTTAGAGAGGTCCAGTGATTTGTTCAAGGTGAGGCAAGTGGCAAAATCAGGAAAACCGGGGTCTGCGGGAAGCCCTAGGTTGTAACCTTTACCCCAGGCAGCCTCAGACTCGGTGTGGCTGGGGCGTGCAATGCAGGGAGGCGGAGAGGGAGGAAGAGATCACACGCTGGATGCCCCCAACGGTGCTGTGACTTGATCACGTAACCCCCACCTCACCTTCTCGTCCTCTCCCCAGTGTGGTCTGCACGTGTCTTAGCAAGACAGCTGGAGCATTCTCCACCTTCCACCAGGAGGAGAGGAGTGGGTATCAACCTAGGAGGTGGTGGGCTCCTTCCTCAGCTAGGGACAGAGGGAGCGTTCCTGAGGCACGACATCCAGGCGACCATACGCCAAGAGCTGGCTCCTGTGCGTCCACATGAGGTTATGGGAAGCCAGCTTCCCAAGCACCTTGGAGCAGCATAGGAAGCCAGGCCGAGAAGCCGAGAACCACAACCCAAGTTGTGTTGCAAGCAATCTCCACTTCCAAAAGCCATTTTTGGTCCCCTAAGGCCCAAGAGGAGAAAATCTCTTACCTTAATTCTCCAAATCCTAAAATACTCCAGCTTTAGTTCAGGGAAGGACAGCTCTGAAGTCCCTCTGGAGTGCTGAACGGATATGTATTTTTTCCAGATTGAAGGCACCTAAATCCCAGGTGTAACAGGATTCTAGAAACACGCAAGAAAAAAACAGGGAATTATTAGTATCAATGCTTACCTTGAATAGATTTGGTAATGAGACGTTTCGTTCATTTAAAAAATTAGAGCTGCACCTTTCCTACATGCTAAGTGGGAAACAACAGAAGAGCAGTCATTTACTGAGCCACTATGATGTGCCAGGCCGTTTAATCCCGTGAGATCAGTTTTGATAGCTCCATATTTGAGAAGTCACATAGGTGGCCAGGCCGGAACTGATAGTCAGGTCCTCCTGACTCCCAAGCCCCAACCATCGACCCCCACGAAAGCTTTGGATTGATCTGATTCCAGGAATTCTGAACAGAGGAGAATGAGAAACATACACAGAACTTCATTCTGAGAATGGCCTGTCCCTTGATGTACAGCCCATTCTGCAGACAGCGGATTATGTGAATCATGGGCGCTCATCAGATTAACTTTGTTGCAGCTTTATCTGAGCCCAACACTGTCATCCAGTAACATGTGATCAGTGGACATAACGCATTACTTAGGGAACGAAAAATGTGGCCTCACCAGGGATTCTTATCCTAACTGATCATCAAGAGGGCTACAAACGAGGTACCCAAAAAGGGTGGGACAGTGTGGGGAATGGGACAAGGGGCCGCCCCTGGTCTTAGCAGCTCTGGGAGGACCTCCTAAGATACCCCGAAGTAGGGCCTATGCTCAGCAGGGTGGATTCAGTCACTGACCTTCAAGGGATCATGCGGCACCCACAGAAAGCCACACTATTACAGTTACAACAAGGTAGTCCTTTCTCCTTCCAGATCTCCCTTCCACTCCCCCGCCAAAACCCCCATCATCTTGGCAGCCAAATCACCAAGGGGACGGGGCTTGGCGAGCACAGATCCAGAATAAAGAACGCCGACAAGTTCTGGAAGGGAATTTGCTGTCACGTCTAGGAACAGCTGGAGAATGTCCTTGCCCTACCGCTGAGAGCAGAGGCCAGGCAGCCTGGATTCCCCACCATCACTTCCCTCGCTCTCCTCCAGGAGAAACTTGGCCATTTGCTACTCTGAGGCCCTCTGGTTGGTTGTCCCTCGCCTCCCGTGGATGTGGCCAGTATCAAGGACAGACCTCCAACAGCTCTGCGAGCCCCAGAGAATTCCCGTCTCCTCCCACCCAGCGCTGCTTTAATCCATCCCGCGCTCAGCATCCCAGTTCCCAGCAGGACGGGCTGAATTCCCTTCACTCAGAGAAGTCTCCTTGACTAGCAACTCTCTCAAAAAGATGCCCTGCTCAGCACATCCGCGTGCCTGCCGTGGGCAGCCTCCCACGCTTCTCAGGCATTTTGACCAGGAAAGCACTTTTTGCCTTATTGTCAAAATGCATTCGCTTCATTACCCAAAAAGGGCAGCAGCCCAGCTTCTCAGTTGACTGTGGGCTCTTGTCGGACTGCCTGGGTTGGTGTCCCAGTTCTACCACTTAAAAAGTCTGCTTAGGAGCCTGTGCAAGTTACTGAAGCTCTCGGGGCCTCAGTTTCTCATCTTCAGGGTTTCTTCTTAGTGTTAAGTGAGAATCTTTGCAGAGCTGGCACGTAGCCTGGCACTGTACGAACATTTAGAAATGTCAGCTGTTACTAATACCACTTAAGCAAATACTCAGGCCTTACCTTCTAAGTCTACTCCCAATATTAAGGGGAAAAGGTCTCCCCTCTTACTATCTCACCACCATGACGTAGTCGGTGCAGGTGCTCAGCGCACGGGGCTAAGGGAACAAGTGAAGCCAATGCACATGGAGCCAAAGCCTGAGGTTTGAATCAAAGGTGTGCTCAGCTCGTGGCCTGGTTCTAACCCTCACCTCTCAGTTTACGCATCTGCGAAATGCGGTGGATTATAACACCCATCTCCCAGGTATGCCTTCAGGACTAAACAAGAGAGTGCATGCAGGAGGTGCTCTGTAAACGATAAGGTCCTAGAAGAATGTCATGAATCGTAACAATGGCGCCATTCATGAGCCCGCCCCATATAGGACACTTTGGTGACAAATACCCTCCCAGGACCTCAGTGAACACCCGCAATGACCCCAGGAGGTCAGGTCACAAGATGACCCTCATCCCCATTTTACAGATGGGGAAACTACAGTTCAGAGACGCTGCAGAGGCTGCCTGACATCAAACAACAACTCTGTGGCTGACTTGTTGGTGTGCAACCTCAGTCCCCTCCTCCGTGTAGGGGGCCAGCAATAACAGAATGTCAGCCCCTGCAGAAAATCAACCTCTGTCCAAGGCAGCCGAACTGATTAATGTTTTTAATTAATGTTTTAAACCACACACATGGAGCAATGTTCCGTGGAAATGAAGGAGCTAAAATTTCTAAGTTTCTCCCAGGAGTCGGCCCCGCCAGAGTCTGGCTGCCAGAGCACAGGCGGAGCGGGTCCCGGGCTGGCCAGGATGGTCAGAGTGAGAGGGTCACGGCCTGGCTTCAATGCGCCAAGATAGGCAGTACAGTAATTCTCACCCATAGAGACTAGCCACGGAGAAAGGAGAGTGGCCCAGCACAGGGTGACAGGACTCACGCGGCCACTCCACCTCAGGAATCCAGCAATCCCAGCAGAAGAGGGAGCAGGAGTGCAGGGGGAGGCCCCACATGCAGCATGTGCCCAGGGCCTGGGCCTTAAGGGTGAGGCAGCCCCTGCTCCCAGACTCTCTGCCTGACACGCTACCTGCTCTGTGGTTGATGGAGATACCCTGCACCTGGATCAGGGAGCCACGGGCTTTCTTAGGATGCTGACAATACTTCCCTGATGCAGCTCACGACAGCGGAAGACCAGTGCTGGGGCCCGACGCTGTGCTCTGATGGAAGAGGAAGTCAGAGGCAGATGGGGGCCCAGATGCCAGCCCCCTGGCTGCTGTGCTCGGGAATCTTCCTTGCTCTGCTGGTAGAATTCCAAGTGTGCCACAGTTCAGAGTGTCTAATCCTCTCCCATAACCCAAAAGGCAGGGATATATTATCTTCCTTTCTCCAATGAGAAGGAGAGAGACACGGAGTGTGACACACAACATTGAATAATTAACCGCCAGCTCCGCTAAGAACAAGGCCGCCTCAGCATGGGGGCAGCTGGCCTTGAATGGCACCTGGATGTTGCCTGGGCAGTGGGGCCAAGGCACACACTGATGGCAGCCAGGACCAGCCACCTTATAGGCAGGGACCCTGGGCTGCTCGGCAGGAGACAGAGCTGGCTGTGAAATGAGTGACTGCACTGGATGCTTGACCTGGAAATCGTCAGCGCGCCATCCGTTCCCTGCACACAGACCACAGAGGGGGACTGGGGCGCCTATAGGAGCAGAGGATAGGACAGCTCCCCCAGGAGGCCCCAGGGCGCAAGCCCTGGCCTTGGGATGTGTTTGCTCCCTCTGGGAAAGGACATAAACACAGGTACTCGTACGCCTCTCCTGGAGGGTCAGCAAAGCCGGTGAAAGCCTGGGGCCTGGCTCACATGCTTGCCTCAAACTCTATGAGATCCAGCAGGACTGAATGCAGAGGCAACATGTACAGACTCAGGACACAGGCTGCCCAGGTCAGAGCTAGTCCCCACCAGTTAACAGCTGTGTACCCTAGGTAGTCTACTGAACCTCTCTGATCATCATCTAAAAATCAGGGCTGGTAAGAGCTGTTACCTTCCTGGACCAGGGTGGGGACGCATTGCAGTATACGCAAAATGCTTAGCAATGATGTCTGGCTCAGAGTCTCTTATTCTCGGAGTCTAACTGCTGTCCTTTTTCCTATTCCCTGGCAGGCAAATTAGACAGTTCTAATTGCATCCTAGCTCCGCCACCTCCTGGGAAGGTGACCCTGGGCTGATCGCTTGACTTCCCTATGCCTCAGTTTCCTCTTCTACAAAATGTGGGCATGACCACCAGCCAAACGGGACCACCAAGGATGACAAGGCACGTAGCTGAACAAGGGATGCAATCTGAGCTTTCGCGAATGGAGGTCCCAATCCAAACGGAGGGACACTCTACAAAGCAACAGACCTGGGCTCTTCAAACACGTCAAGGTCAAGAACAGCCGGGAAATTGTTCGAGGAAAAAGGGAATCCATGGAGACAGGACCACTAAATGCAGCAGTGATGTGGAATTGGGAAAAAATAGTCCAAAAGGACATTATTGGGACAACTGACGAAATTGTGTGTGGCCTGTGGATTAGATAATATAATTGCAGCAATGTTAAACGAGTTTGATCATTACACATCAGTTACGTAAGAGAAAGTCCTTGTTCTTAGGAAACACATGCTGAATATTTAGGGATAAAAGGGCATGTCTGCAACTTACTCTCAAACGATTCAGAAAAAAATTGTGTGAGTGTGTGTGTGTGTGTGTGTGTGTGCGTGTGTGCAGGGAGTGGGGTGGAGTGAGTTAACAATTGTGAATCTGGGCGTACAGCAGTTCTCGCTACCATTCTTGTAATTTCTCCTGCAAGTTTGAAATCATATCCAAATAAAAGATGACGAAGAGCTGGGAGCAGGTCAGCAATAACAGGCCTAAAGGGCTGAGTGTCAAACCATTCATGCAGGACAAAAACATAAACCTTTCCCACAAACCCCGTGCCACCTGATGTACAGATGTTATGATTTATTGTGTAGAAAACTACAAAGGATAAAACTGAAATTTAACTTGAACCACCACCCCCTCCCACCAAGAAAAAGAGAAATGGATAGCTACTTCTGTTACTGCGTCCTGGGGCCCGGTGTATTGGGCCCACATCCTCGCCATCCAGCTGCGTGCGAACCAGGAGAGGTACCCTGGGGGCTGGCAGAGGCAGCATCTATGTGCCAGGCAGGATAATGAGAGCTCTCTGCTTCTTGAGTCACTGGATCTTCACGAGAACCCATAAAGCAAACTCAACTGTTAGCCCACGTCACATTGCAGGAAACTGAGGCTAGAGGAAGGCTCTTGCCCGGGTTTTCATCCGAAGTGTGGGTGAGCTGGGACTGGGGCCCTGGCTGCCTCCCCAGGATTTCCACAGGCAGAAGGG